CAAATGTATTTAAATTGCTATGAAAACAATGACGGTTTTTTAAATTGTTTTTCTGGTGACTTTTAACGTGTTTTTTCTTTTCTTTCTCAGACTTGCGGCTTGATCGGACACCAGTCGTCATGAGTGCAGACGATAAGGACGGGGCTGCGGCCGGGACTGCGGCCGAGAATGAACCCAACAAGTACTGGCCACAAACAGAGGATGAAATCATAGATGACGTATTTGGAGAGCCCAGCTGGACGGGCGCAGAGTCTGGGTGGAAAGAGGCAGATTGTACCGTGCAGGAAACCAGTGATCCGTATCATTCGGGGCCAGAATATGATGACGATGAGCTGGACAACTGGAAGGTTGGGGAGTCTGAAAACATTGTAGATGTAGAGAGTACATCAGAGAAGGATAAAAATGAAAATCATTTAAACAGCGACTACAAGTCAAATGATGGTTTATTCGAGTCAGACATTTTATCCAGCGATCAGTCAGAGTGTGATCCGAATGAAAACTGCTGGTCCGAGTCCGAAAATAGCCTAAAACCAGATGAAGCTGAGCAGCAGATATTGGAGCCAGTGACCGAGTGTAATGAGAAAGATGAACAAAGTGGGCTGCGAGCAACTGTTCCCGTCTTTAGCCGCAGCGCTGAAACCACAAGAACGGGTGCCGAGTACAAGCAGTCGCTGCAAAGGTCGACGAGGCTTCACGCCCGCCGGCCACTGGTCGGCAGGAGGGGTGTCACAAAGGGCGACCAATGCAACGCCAAAGGCAGGATTCGCGTGTCTAAGAGCTGCACGACGGAGTGTGAAATCTTAAAGCCAGACCTGGCTAAAAATTACCCGTGTCCCGACATGGCCAGATACGCCAGCTTGTACGAAGAGATTCTCAGGAGTGAGGAGTTTTTAGTTTTCTCAGACGAGGACGATGACGGCTCCTCGGACTTTGATGACGACGGCCCAAACTCCGAGAGCACTGCACTGGAGATGGATAACGAGAACTCAGACTCCAAATCTGAGCTTTCCAATAACAGGGCGAGCGGTTTCAGTGAGTTGGTGACCAACACTGAGAGCCCTGACCTGCAAACACAAGGGCTGCGAGACGGGGCCGTACCAGGAACAAGTGATAAAGCTAAGGACCTGTCCAGTGTTCTGTTGAGCACTAGTCGGGTATCCGATGATGATACCGTGAGTAAGAATCAAATCACAACCGAAGCACATCCTACTACAACAGGATCCGACAACGTAGCCGCGAGGGCTTCCCGGCGGTTGGTGGACAGTGATAGCAAGCTGCTTTCCAAATCAGAGTCTGGTAGTTCACTAACACCAGCATCTACCAAAACCAGCAGCCCAGGAACAGAAATACCGACGAAAGATACGGTGCGACCCGACGAGCCGGCCCTGGATAAATCATATGTAAACGACGAAGCTCTGGAGGCTGATCTAAATTGCGATAAAAAGGTATTCACGGAACCCAAAAACGCCACGACGACCTTGGCAGCAGCTTCTGTTTCTACCGCTTCACATGACTCTGCCGCTGTCGGTGCTTTGAGCAGGGTGTTGGAAGATATTTATTGTCACAGATCGGATCAACTGAACAAAGTGTCACCACTATGGCGTCTCAAAAGCGCCCAAGGGAAGCAAGAGAGCCTTACAAACGACCCAAGAACAGCGCCTCCCGTCCTATCCATCCTCGGTCTGACGCCGGCGGACCAGAAGTTGAGCAAGTATCCGAGGTATGACCACAATGATGTCTGCTTCGACTTGCCCTATCAAAACGCATTGGTAGACCCACTGACTGGTATGAGAACAAAACCTGACGCTGGTCACCTGAGCACAGATGTAACTCAAGGAATTTCCAATTCCACAAAGTGTGGTGACGAAAGCGGCCGCCATTGCACTGTCGCAGTTGATATTTTCATGAATGAACCAACGTCCGAGAACGATTTAGATGAAAATGGGGATCAATGGTTAAATGGAATCAGCCCTCTGTCTGAAAAAGTCGGGATTTCGACCTCGGAGGCATTAACCGAAGCTAGCAAAAACGAATCTACATACAACGAGAAGACAAACACTTCTCATGAATTCGACATCACTGTGAAAGTTGAGCCCGCTATTGATGGCGTTGAGAGCCGAGGTCCAGTGGAAGGCACTGATGCCCAATCAAATGATGCCCTGCAGAGTATTGTCAAGCACCCAGTGTCTCCAATCGTCAAGCAGTACTACATGTCATTTCTAAATGTGTTACGGAATAAAAAACTCGTCAATAAAAAAGTCCGGCGCCCCCCACAAAAGTTTTTTAAGGCTTTACAAACCAAAAACGAGTTTCGTGATGGCGAGAAGGGCGCCGGTGTAAGTAACAGGGAAGTCAACATGCTCTTGGAAAAACACAAGCCATCCAAAAATTTTCCCAAAGGCCGAGAGGTACCCCCTGGCTGGAAGCCCGGTCAAGGCTCTGCTAAGACTATTGCCCAGATCTCGGCCGCGTACAACGAACACAACCCCAAACGAAAATGTAGGAAGATTAACAGCGGTAAGGCCAGGGCGATGTCCAAGGGATGTAATAACAATAAGAAAAAACTCCACGTTCCCTCAGAGTGTTCCATCCCAGACATCGAGTCTGATATGTTCCTGCCACGTAACAGAAAAACCAGCTTTGGATCCGATGCGACCGACAGTGCTGACAGCAAAAACACCGTGGGGTACGGAGAGAGATACAATCCTGATTCTGATGGCAGCAGTGGGGACGAACGGTTAGTCGCCAAGGCGGCACTGAAAGACGTCAAAGCTGGAGATTTTGAATCCAAGCGTAAATACTACGAGCAGCTGCATGGAGTCAAGGCGACAAAGTCAGAAAAAGTAGCACGGTCCATGGACAAGTTGGAGCTGACGTCACAGGTGAAATTTTTGAAAACCATCGATGATTACTGCAATGCAGAGGACTTTGAACACATTGAGTACGACTCGTATGAAGGAAGCGTGTCCGGGGATTACTGTGAGCGCTCAATGAGCTACGTGGAGTACCATAAGTCTTTGGTGCAATATTACACGAAGCGGGCATCGAACATACAGTTAATGAGCTGTCACCCCCCGCGTGAGCCCCGCAACAGCGCCTCTGGTATTCGCATCCGCCGAGCGTCCCACAACGTGCCTTCAGCGATTGATTCGGAGAGGTTGAAGTGTTTGGGGATAGACGAGAACAATAAGAACGTTGGCATGTGGAGTCTAAATACACTATACGCCCACAAGAGAGGAATCTGTGAGGTGCCCAAAGAGTCTAGCAACCAGATGTTTCCATCGGGCGGAGACGGGCGCGAGGAAGCTTTGGCAGCGAACAACATTCTCCACCAAAAAGCTCCACCGAAAGCCAGAATCTCGAAGAGACGAGCTCGCGGGAAGTATAGAAATCTCAGACGAGGCAAGCCGACGGCCAGAAAAGCGACACCGATGGAAGCGCTTTCCATTTACGAGTCCGAAAGAAAGATAACGTACTTGGACCTACTGAAATCTGGATATTGCATGAAGATGAACAGGCCTGGCAAGGACCTAGGTAACAGTGATGCCCAGCCTGCCAAACAGGATGATGTGGTCGCTCACAAGTCGAAATCGTGCGATGCGTCGGCCAACAAATGCCAACCCGTCTCAGGAGCCTGGCAGAGAGAGATTTCACCCAATAAAGAAGCCGAGAGCCCTCGCAGAAAATTGAAACTGGTCCGCTTCAACGAGCCTAAACCTATGGAAAACGAAAAGGGGACAGATCCGTTGCTGGACAGGTCGGAGGAAGACACGTGGTGTTACTCTGTCAACGCCATGCTTCTCAGAGCCAATAAAGTCATGGAGAAGCAAAACCAGGGCACCAAGAACGATTACCACTTCCCCAGGCCTGAGTCAGCTAAAGTTGTTGCCCCTGTCGTCAAGCCGATGTCATCGAGTTTTTTGAGCGAGCTGCTGGAGCAGGACAGAGTTGAGCAGATACGGGTCAGAGAGAAACACAAACTTGCCGTCAAGATTGAAAGGCCCATCCCTGGAAAACCGGTGATAAAAGTTAGTGAAGATAGCAGCCCAAAGTCGGAAAGCAACAGAAATAGTACATTGTCAGACAACTCGGACAAACCCTCTGACACATCGAGCAGCGATGTGGTCAACAGCTTCCCCATCATTGACCACAAATCCCAGTCGGCACAGAAGGTGTCGGCGGGTATTCTGAAAATAAAGTCGAGCTTGTCTAAGAAAGCCGAGGAACGGGCGCTGCGGGTCCAGCAGAGGCTATCAGAAGGGGACAGGCGTGCGGCTCTGTACATGAACCCGGCCCAACCCAACATTTTACCAAAGAAACTCTTGCCTCTCAGATACTCGGCCCCCACAGACGCCATCTCTCAAATAGGATCAGACTGGACACCCGTGAGGATCATCAAAGAATCCATTACCAACAAATACGCGTCGGACAGATTCTATTCTAGGCGTGAGGCCGCCATGAACTCTGGGCACTCCAGTTATCGCTCGGAGAAGTCCAGTGAAGCTTTATTGGGTTATAAGTATACCCGCATGGATCACAGGGCGTCCTCGATCGTCCAGATGTTCTCCGACTCAAACAACAATGCCAACAGGAGCCCCAGCGACAGCGAGTCTTCAGACTATGAAAATCATCTCGTGGATCCGCTTGAACTGCCATTCACCTTCAATCCGAGGGATGCCATTACCGAGGACAAGGGAGGGCGATACCGAAGCTTTAGCGGTCGAAATTTGCACAGGATCTCAGAGGATGCGGAGTACGGTTCATTTGTTCTGCACACATCAACGGAGGAGGAGAGGAGTGCAAGGCTGAAACAAACCCAAGATCTCTCAAGCGATAACGTTTATGAGAGAAGCTCTTCCACTACCTCCCCCTTTACACCCATAAAACCAAAAGAATCCACGGTAGTTTCATCCGGCGTCAGCTTAACTGACGCCCTCGCACCACTCAAATACGGTGCCCAAAACGACCCTGACGCATTCTGCATGAAAAGCGTCGTCGATATGTTGGGTCAAGGGAAGAGATCCAAGCGTCTGCCGGCGACGACGTGTGCCTCGAATCACGAATTCACTAGCGAGGGTTTGGATGGATGTGAGTCAGAATCCACGCTAGACTGCGTGGTTGGGGACTCAGATTCAGAGTCTTTTGATCGGAGATCGTTTCTCAGAACTTTGCTAGGATACCAAGATACAGATTCAAAGGGGGCACCGAACGGGTCACCCAAGGACCTCAACAATGAAGAAAATCAGACAGGTGTGATTGCTATGGCAAACATAATTACCCCAAAACCTGATATGTGGTATCCAGGGGCAGTGGATCAGATAACTGCCCCTTTACCAATGGAGGTGAAACAAAATGATGAGCCTGTCAATGGTCGAGTTTGTGAACAGGGAGATCAGAGACTGGTGGACTCGCGGGATGTCAGACTCGTGCAGTTTAATGCACTTCCTGAACTACTTCGTACGGAAAAGAAATGCACAGAGACACCGAGTGATCCGGAATTCATAAGTTCAGCGCTGTCCAGATTGGTAGTTCAAGGTCAGTCAGTCCCACTGAAGAAGAAATGCTCCCTCGATTCCGCATTGGCAGCCACCAGGAGGGAAGAGAACGTCAGTGGCCGCCTTGAGAAACCACAAACTCAATTGTCTCCCAGTGCACACAGTTTTCAGTGGTCGTGTTCTGACGAGCGAAACCTACGAGATCAAAATCAGGTACACGTCACCCAGGAAGCCGCACCGAACAACGATATCTTGACCCCTCCAAGAATTTCCTCAGGTAAAAAAATCAGCAGCCTTGATGAAGCGCAGAAAACAAGTCCTGCTTATACACAAGAGGTGCGTCGGCAAAGATACTTGAAGAAAGACTCTCAGGCGGCCATGGAAAATTCCGCCATGACGGTACTCAACTACCAAGAACACACCAAGGAGAAAAATAAAGATTCCAAACCCCCCATATATAGACCATCTGCTCAAAACGATCATCATTTTGATGAGGTGTTTAAAAATTTTGAACACGAGCAATGGAAATGCACCGAAAGCTGTGGCCGATTCTTCAACTGGGAAAAAATTAAATTGCCACCTCCGTTTCCAACCGGTAATATAAATTTGGCAGAGAGTCCCGTCCGTTCGGCGTCCTGGGTTGAGGTCTTCAGGTCAGTCTCGCGTCAATCAGGTTATTCTACACCCTCGGACGAAGCGGTTCCGGAAAAAGGCAGCCAGCAGTCGACAGAGGAGTCACACGACACAAGGATTATCCATGCCGTCCAGGAAGACAACACGGCTTTAAACGTTGAGGGGGCCAATGTCGTGAACTCGCCCGCATATATGTCGGCCGACTTGGAGAACACCAACACAGATAGCAGGACAGAGGAGAACCATGCAAACAGAGACGAATTGTTGGTTCACGCCACTAACATGATCCAAGTCGAGATGGGTGACGATCTCGTTGGCGAGTTGGATCCAAAAGACAATCAGATGCTGGAGGTGTTCATCGACGGCCAGAGAGCCGGGACGTCAAACCTACTACTGATCAACCCATCGTGTATATTCTACAAAACGCCTCAGTACATCAACCCAACGGCAAAATACAGATGCCCCGACAGGCAGTTCTTGAAGATGCTGAGAGGCACTGACCTCCTCCAAGCCGTAGGGCTGGACAAACAGCGTCTGCTGTCATGTCTTCAATCGGTGACCAGATCACGCACCTACATTCCATCGTTCTACATTCGCTCGCTGAATCCAGTGGAGATCACACCAGCGGTGGTGGAGCTCCACAAATGTGCCGATGTTGTCCCTTGTTTTGACAACTCTGTCAATATCCAGACGTTTCCCGTCTTCTACACACACAGTAGTGGGAGGCTGATACAGAGGTAATCACACTATTGTTTCCATTTATTTGTACATCTCCTCTCATTCTCTCTCTAAAATTTCGTATACATGTTTTTATTCTTTACATGGCAGTGGGATGATTGTACAGACGTAGTCTTTATACTTACATGTCCACCAACATAGAAACGTATTGTCTGTTTTGTTGTTGTTAGCATAGTTCGTCGTGCAACTTTACTACTTGCAAAATCGTTATTATTTGAATCTATTTGCGATCATCTTAGAGTGTCGATAAATGTTTATGATAATGTGCTCAAAATTTTTCCTGTGCACATGTCATTTTAAGACACCCCCCCCCCCAAATAGGTTAATCATCCTATTATCCTTAAATACCCCAGTAAGGGTAAATATATATATAGATAGCATGATAGAAAATATGAATAAGAATTGAAATCCCAATAAAATCCCTTGTGTCTATTTTCAGAGTTTTTACAGTGAACTATATTGCTCAAGGTCTATATTCCATGGAAAACTCGGAACCAGAGAGTCCCAGAAGTAGGGAGAACATGTCAGATCCTTCTGAGATCATTAAGGCAGCCAAGCTTATCCAGTACTTGCCTGGTGTAGCGAGTCTGGCATTGGTCAGTAAAAACTTGTACTTGTTTGCGGATCAATACACCAGCTACGATGAGGCGCTCCAGTTTCTAACTAAAATACACGATCTCGTCATGGGTCAAACCATTGCCAAGTACTTTGAGATCATGTGTGGCTGGGTTCCCGTGTGCTTCAGAGACAAGGCGACTACTCTGTGTAGCAAATGCCAGTCTATGGAAGACGTTCGAGAAAAAGCCACGGTCAGATTTCATATAGACAATCCCCCGCCGTCGAGCACGGGAGGGGACGGTTTGAAACAACCAGCAATATACTGCCACCATTGTGGAGACTCCATGAGGTTTGAATACGAGGGTGATCATGAAATGACCGTGCTAATGAAAACAAGATGGGACATTAACTGCGACGGCCTGGCCATCCCAGTGTGCACCAAGCCTAACAGTAAGAAAAAAGTGTCCATGCTCCCAGGTATTAGACAGCATAAAGTCACGTGTGTACGCAGCCAGCACAGCGATAGGGACTTGCAGCACCGAAGGTCTTTCAGCCTTCCGGCCATCTCCAAGTGTAAGATTCCTCCAAGCAAAGCCAAGGTGTCCATGCCGGCCCCATCTCACTCATCACCATCCATGTACAACCAAGATTGGTGGTGGAAGGAAGTAGAGTACCTGAGGCACAAGGAGATGGAAGACTTTAAGAAGGAATATTTTCTACAGCAAGAACAAATTCAACAGGAGGAGGATGAGCGCCTGGAGCTACAAAGGTTACAGCATCAACAGAGGTTGAGAGAAATCAAACAGGAGCTACAGTTACAGCAGTCGGGTCTGGGCAGCCAAGGTGAGAATGAGACCGCACACACCAAGCCAGGCATGGCCACGCCCAACCACACGGTGCTGACTACGCCCAATCTATCGGACCCGTCCACACCGAGCCGGCAGGTTGGGAGCACACCGAGAGGAGGGAGGACGCCTTCCGTGACCAAACAGAAATCAGACGAGATCGAGTGCATGCCGCCTTACGTCATGCGAATGGGGGCAAAAAGCACAATGAACTGGGTGAAGAAATACGTCGAATCACCTGCGCAAATCTCCAACGTTGGTGGTTACACCGAGAAGAAACTGACCGGTAGATCAATCATCCCACCTCCCTTCTCTTTCAAAGAACAGAAACCGGTCCCCATAAGACGGACCAATCAAGTTCTGAAGAAGAAAATCGATCAGCTCTTGACCGGGACAACGAACAGTAAAATCAGGCAACAGATTGCCCCATTGTCTGTGCCGAGGATCGGAGCCATTGCCAAAAATAAGAGTGTCAAAATGTGCAAGTCCAAGAGCAGCGTGTCCACTGACGCGACCAGCAGTGCCAGCGACAGTGAAAGCAGCTCAAGCGGCACTAGCAGCAGTGAGACCGAGTCCTCCTCGGACGCGTCGGAGTATTCTTCTCATTCGGATTTTTTCACAAGCTATGCCAAACGAGGCGGTCCCACGAGTATTCAGGACATCTTTACCCGCACTTTGCCGAGGATGAAACTCCCGTCGAAGCTGGAAAAGGTCAAACAGGCGATGGAAAGGGAAAAGCTGATGGGTCAAAACCTGATGAAGCTCCTGCCCCAAATGCCAGGTGAGGATGGGGATGGTGAGCCGGCCTACCAGGACCAACCAGATCTGGCATTTGCCCACGATTACGATATGTGTGAGGATGCAGATGAGATGAGGGAGTTGTGGAAACTCTGCTTCCCTGAAGTCAATTTTTGGACCAGGAAGAAACCAAAACGTACAGATGCTCTGCTCCTAAAGAATATTACTCTGACCAATGCTGCTTAGAAACAGACACATTCACAAATAAAGTCATGATAAAACAGCAACATTTAGAAATTTAAAATGTTTCAAACACAATATAGGACACATACATGCCGAACTGCTCAAACAAGGGTCTGGTTTAAAGAAATGAAATAAAGGTCTATGACTTTAAAAAATGTAATGATACGACTTCTAAGTTGGCATTTGATTTTAGGTCTAGGGAATATGACGTGAGCTCAATGCTGAGATGGTTCAGTCTAGATTCTTATTCCATGGCTATTATTTCAAAATATGCATGTTGAAATTTTATTTTGATGAAAATACAACCATGCTAAATACAATCTTCACAATGATGATGGTAAAATCATTGTATCATCTTTACTTATAGATTCATTTGATATTTTTTTTAAATTAAGAAATACTTGCAGACTTATATTAAGAGCTTGAAGTTGAAGGTAAAGAAATGTAGCTCAAAGAATCTTAACAGTGGTCAGGCAGAGAAACAATCTTAAAGCAGTTATGTTGTAGTATGTTTTTTGTTCTTTAAGTTCAGGCCACATTGATACAATAATTATTTGAACAAATGAGGTGGTTACAGGTATAACATTGAATTGACATCTTGAAACAATCCACACCTTAGGCTTCAGAGACATAAAGTCAATTAATGGATCAACAAACAAGGAGGATTTTTTTGCTTAATATTTTTGTTTAACAGACAATTTTTTTATAATGATTTAAATGAGAAAAAAAGTAAATACTAAAATGGATATATATATATGTATGTATGTATATATATATATATTATATATATATATATATATATATATATATATATATATATATATATATATATTCATACATAATTTATATATAAATCAGTCTTTTGCTAAGATGTATTAAGTTTATATGAAAACTGTTTTTTAAGATTCATACATTTTAGTTTAAATATTAAAGACTTGTTTTCACTTCAGAGAGAAGTTCTCAAAATACTTTTTAAACACCACTTATCGGTTACTGCTAATTTATTTTTTAAAACTACAATTGGAATTGTGTCATCTTTAATTGTGACTGAAAGTGAATGAATCCAAACTGAAATAAATCTGTTGACATTGCTGTTTAGCTGCTAGTTCTCTTGTTTCTTCGTCTACAATATTTGTATTCATTTAAGTTGTGGAATAACAAACCAAGAATTGTACATGATGTAAATATCCTGTCTCTGTGTTTCCTCCCATCATATACAAAATTGGATAATTCAGGGAGATAAGGTGAACAGATTTGTATAACTTGAGTCAAGATTAGCATCTTTTATTCAAACCATCCATCTGAGTTGTTTGGAAGTGGTTGTTACTCAAAACAAACAGTTGTGTCATGTGGCTGTGGTCACTACTCAAACCATCCATCTGTTTTTGGCAATGGTTGTTACTCAAACCATCCAGTTGTGCTGTGTGGCTGTGGTTGCTACTCAAACCATCCAGTTGTGTGGTGTGGCCGTGGTTGTTACTAAAACCATCAAGTTGTGTTGTGTGGCTGTGGTCGCTACTCAAACCATCAAGTTGTGTTGTGTGGCTGTGGTCGCTACTCGAACCATCAAGTTGTGGTGTGTGGCTGTGGTCGCTACTCAAACCATCCAGTTGTGATGTGTGGCTGTGGTCGCTACTTAAACCATCAAGAAGTGTTGTGTGGCTGTGGTCGCTACTCAATCCATCAAGTTGTGTTGTGTGGCTGTGGTCGCTACTCAAACCATCCAGTTGTGCTGTGTGGCTGTGGTCGCTACTCAAACCATCCAGTTGTGATGTGTGGCTGTGGTCGCTACTCAAACCATCAAGTTGTGTTGTGTGGCTGTGGTCGCTACTCAATCCATCAAGTTGTGTTGTGTGGCTGTGGTTGCTACTCAAGCCATCAAGTTGTGTTGTGTGGCTGTGGTCGCTACTCAAACCATCCAGTTGTGTTGTGTGGCTGTGGCCGCTACTCAAGCCATCCAGCTGTGTTGTGGCGGTGGTCGCCATTTGTTTACAAGAATTAACTGATCAAAATATTAGAGAATCTGATTTTTCTTACAATGCATGCTAATAATTGCATTGGTTTTTTTGTTACTATCTTTCCATTAACTTCCCATTGGGTGATTATAAACCCTTATTTGGTGATCACATCCCTGCAGATTTCAGAATTGAGTACAGGCATAAACCATCCATAGATTGTACATTGGTAGTTATCAGGGATTAAAAAAAAATGTTTTTTATGGCAGCCAGTACTCACATATTGTTACTCTTTTAGGGGCCATCCATAATGATGTCACGCATAATTCATTGAAAAAATATGCCGGTATGCTGTTCGGATGCGTTGTAGTACCAAAAGAAAAGCCCTGGTAGTTATAAAGTTTTCATGCGCCCACAAACTGAAATGTGGCCATTTACTGGTGCAGGATGGCCTAACTTAATATATTCAACACTGTTATTGTCACTTACCAGGTGCTTGAATCTGCATGTGGCCAAGTGGCGTAGGATCCATCAGCCTTTCGGAAAAACATTTGTTTGGACACACCTGAAAACAACGGGAAAAACTTGAGGATTGAGCTATCCAATAATTTAATAAAAATCCAAAGATGAAATCAACAGAAATGGACTTCAATGTAATTAATAAGTAAGCATTAAATGCTAACTTAGAGGCTAAAACTAATGAGGTCCCTATGTACACATCTTACATGGGCGAGACTCAATAACTTTTCTATCCAAGAAAATTTGCGAGGCTGCAATGCCTTTTGTAAAGTTAGGCTATATGTATATAGGTATGCATTTGTAAGTGTACATGGATCAGTTGCCTTTTTAAAAATTATCAAAATGATAGGCTCTATGTATATTGGTATCAATGTCAATGTCTACATGGATCAGTTGCCTTTTTAAAAATTATCAAAATGATAGGCTCTATGTATATTGGTATCAATGTTGTATATTGGTATCAATGTTGTATATTGGTATCAATGTTGTATATTGGTATCAATGTCAATGTCTATATGGATCAGTTGCTTTTTAATTTTTATTTTTTATATCTAATTGATTTTTATTTTTATATGAAATTTGATTTTAAAAAATTCCTTTGAAGAAGTCTGGTAATCCAAATACAATATGCTTGCACACAAAAGTGTAATAACATTTACCTTGTCTAATCAGAGCCAATGCTTTTTTCTCAATCAAAGACGTCAGTCTCCTGGTAGCCCTAAGATAACGGGTGACAAATACATTGGGTGCCAGGTAGATGAGATTCTGTTCTCCACAACCCGTGGGCATACGAAGGAGGTCTGTCACTCCTTCTATCATTATCTGGAGGGTGGGTCCAAGCATGTCCCCTATAGATACAGTTGAGACATCCTAATTTAACAAAGGGAAGTGGTGTGGATCTCAGAAATCTTTATGACTTTATAAGTCTGATCTACATTTGGTGTGGGAAACATTTTGTGGAGAAATCTTTATGGCGTTATAAGTCTGAACTACAATTGGGGCGAGAAACATTTTCTAAGAAATCTTTATGACTTTATAAGTCTTATCAACACTAGGGTTGAGAAACATTTTCTAAGATGGAAGCATATACAAATATCTTATGCAAAGCATACTTACATTGCAACTGAAATTTTAAGGGAAAATATTAATATTTGTTGCCTGTAAAGCAGTGGTTCTCAACCTTCCTAATGCTGGGACCCTCTTGTTGTCGTGACCCCCAACAATAAAATTATGTTAGTTGCTACATCACAAATATGTGTTTTCCAATGGACTTAGGTGACCCCTGTGTAATGGTCAATCGACCACCAAATTGGTCGTGACCCACAGGTTGAGAACCGCTGCTGTTAAGTATTGAGATAAAAAAATTTAAATGTCTAAAACAAAGTACACTACACCAGTGTAAAATCAAAAAAAAAAATTATTGTGAGAGCGATTATTATAATTCGTGTAGGATTAAATGAATACACAATTACTGATGGGGGTTTTCTCAAATATCATTCCAAAATATACATTTTTTAAAAGCCTTCACTTGTAATTCTAATTAGTTGCCCTGTACAAACACTTCCAAAAATGTTTTTTTTTTAAACTATCATTATCAGGAAATGAGAAATTAATAATTCTCAAGTTTTTTTTTATGTTTGCATTTTTAAATCAGATCAATCAGCCACCCGTATGTGTTTTGTTACAGTCTTACACGGCCAAATCTAACAATCCTTACACGTTGATAAAGAATTTTCAATTAAAGATATCAACCTATTCCTTCTTAATTTATAGCATATAACTCAGCAAATAAATGTGCATGTGAGAGAAAAGTTTCAAACCTATGATTTTAAGTTAAGCTGAACCCTCGAGTGCTATAAGCCTTATCTATCCATCCCTGACTCAACAATTCCTTCCACTCAGATCTAACTGACACTTTTCTTTTCTATGCTTTGATTCCCAGTTACTGTAGATCTTTTTCCGCATTATTTATCCTAGGGTCAACCTTTGAGCAATTTTTCTCTGGGGTTTTGGAGGTGTATTCTCTTTACTGAACTGTCATTTGGCATTCTTTCCAAGTGTCCAGTCCAGCAA